TACTTAGACTTATACCCGAATATTCTATGATATGTATTTGACTTTTCATTAAGAGGTTTTTTGAAAAAAAGAAACAAATGGACTTAATGGCTGAATCTGAATCATTCGGATTCAGACCTAAAAACCAAACGTACTTAATGGATTGAATCTGAATGATTAAGATTCAGACCTCCATTAAGTGGAAACAAATGAGGCCTAAGATTCTTAGAGGCTATTTAACCCTAAACACTGATTCATGCCTAAAGATATTATATTCCCTTGAAAAGGCATCTCAAAAATTCTGAAAAGAGATCGAAATCTCGAAAATTCCACCACAAATTCATGGAATATTCATAATGAGATCAGAATCTCAAAAATTTCATAAAGAGATCGAAATCTCAAATATTCTGCAAATTCATGGAATATTTATAAAGAGATCACATCCAAATCATCCAAGTTCGAGAAATACACCACTAACGACCCTCGAATCATGGATAAATCTTATGAGAAAAGACTTAAGGAAGGAATAGAATTGTACTCGCGCTATTATCAATGCAATATTCATGTTTCTTCAGATTTTATGTAACACCCCGACTTTTCAAAACGTCTAAACTAGTATCTTCGTGGAAAGACAAGGAGAGTGAGTAATAAATTAAAAATGAGGTGGTATGTCATATTTTAAGTATTCAAGGGTTGTATCTCAAGATTTGAAGTTAAGTAAGTGGCAAAATAAAAGTTGGCGAAAGTTGTCGTAAGTTCCTTTTAAAGATTTCTCTAAACTTTGGGTCAAATGTCTTGGATGTTTTCTCCCAATATATAATAGTTAGAAGGCATATCACCCATTAAATTGAAGGCCTACGAGTCTAGTTTGCAACGCACAAAACCCCGTATCAAACCGACATTAGAGTAAAAAGTTATGAGGGTTTTACTAGGGACTGGCGGGGCAGAATCCGGGTCGGGTAAAACATATGGTATGTCCGCTTATTTAACGTTTTAAGCCATGAAAACATTTCATTTCAGTTCCAAATCAGAGAGAAAGCTTAAGAGAGGGTTCCTATGGATTTCTAGCATGATGAAGGTTAGTTTTTGACGATTTCTACCATTAAACATTTCCTCCGTGCCTAGAAACGTAATCCCTACACATGGCAATCATTTTTCCCTTCCATTAGCGTTTGAAGCTGATTTTTGAAGATATAAATTTGTAGTTATTGGTGTTTCTTCAAGGTTTACACTTGGTTAACTAAGGTAATCATCTCGGGACCCTTTTATGGTTGTTTTATGAATTTCTACGGACGTTTTGACAAGTTGGGGCAATATGACAAATCTGCCGATTTAAGATTAATTATGAACTGTTTATAGGTGTGTACCAGCTGTGTATATATAGTGTTTGCGAAGCTTAGGACATAAGGAACAACTTTTGTGAAGGAACTACGGTCTTTCGAGCGTTCATTAGGTAGGGGGTAGGGGGTAATTAATTAACTTTGGTTAATTAAACTTGAGTTAATTATTTTTAACACTTGGACAAATGTAAGTTCAGACTTTCAGTTCAGAAGCCATGATGCTATTATGCCAATTGGCCTTTTTTTTCACTAACTTTCTCCATGGGAATCTTTTTTAATAAAAATAAAATAAAATAATTTTTTATTTTTTTTATTTTTTACATTTGAGTTTAAACTTGTGGGATTGTCAGTGAAGAATTATGTCTTGTTCTACATATAGAGAAAGAGAGGGACGCGTGGTGTGAACTGTGAAGGGGCAGAAGGGAGATGGTGGTTTTAATGGTGAAAAGTTTAATAAAAATGGCGTTGGTTTTTGTTATCAATTACGAGGCAAACCACACTGTGGGGTGGTATTTTGTTCGTGCCAAAATAAGTGTTGTTTTAGTCAAAAACAAATTGTTGAGTGCTTTTTTCATGCCAAAATAAGTGTCATATTAGTCAAAAATACAAATTGTTCTGAAATTAATACTGTCATTTAGAAATTCAAGACTATAATTAATATTCTGTTCATACATTTTTTTGGTCATATTTAGACTTGACACACGTTGATTGTCATGGTTGTTTTAATATAGTATCTCTATTAATTGATATTTAAGATTAAGTTTTAAAAAATAATTTGAAAATTAGTAATTAATGTCAAGGATAAAATATGAGAAAAAATAATTTCTTAATATGTTAAAAGTGAAAATTTTACTTTTGGAATATTGGATAAGTAAAAATGAACAAAGTAGGGGTGTTCACGGGTTTGTTTGGATCGGTTATTGGTCAAAACCAAAACCAAACCAACTTAATCGGTTTTAAAATTATCAAAACCAAACCAAACCAAATACAATATACATTTATCGGTTTGGTGATTATCGGTTTCGGTTTGGTTTGGTTCGGTTATTCGGTTATTAACCATACACAAAAATAAAAGAAACAATTCATTTAAAATGTGAAAAAAGTGACAACAATCCATTCAAAACGAAAAATAGTTAGAATGACTTAAATTACTGAACTTTCGATCACTAAATTTACTATCAATAAAACTTTAAAATTCACTTTGTTGGCCTGGAAGGAAGAGACAATAACATTTTCAGTCCCACAAAGAATTGTCATAGACACTCATATACATGAAATCAATAAGATAAATGTTTCATCTTGGGCATTTTTGCTTTCAATAAGTAAATTATAAAGAAATTTTAATGAAAATATGTATAAGATCTTTAAAATTGTTTATAAAAACAATATATTAAGTATGTATATTAATAAAATATATGTATATAATTCATCGGTTTGGTTCGGTTATTTCTTCAGTTTTTTCCGAATAAATCATAACCAAACCAAATACTATCGGTTTTTAAAAATCTAAAACCAAACCAAACCAAACCCAAATAAAATCGGTTTTATTTTATCGGTTTGGATCGATTTTTATCCAAACCGTGAACACCCCTAGGTTGGCGAGCCCCTTTCCTCCGGAGCTGCCAGAGTTGGGAGGTTTGTTACCTTTTGTTGTATATATCTTTATGGGTAGGCTTGGGCCCTGTCCTGCTAATATTTACTACTCTTAGAGGCTTGCAGACTAGTGTGTGGGGGTGTATAGCTACGTTATGGCCATACTGGCCTATGTTGTTGGTTTGCTGAAGCTTGTGAGCTGTTTGATGTATTGTATTGATATATACCTGCTTTTAGCTTTGGTATAGATATCATGGTGGCCTCGACGGCCCAATCAGGACTTCTGTGCTAGTTGGCTATTTATTTAAATGATCTCCTGGGAGTAACTGTTTCTTTTATAGATCAGTTGACAGGGGCCTTGCCGGCCGAGGGCTTAGTTTTAAGCCGAGATATACTTGTTTGTTTTCTTGATTGCGTGTGGCTGCCATGCGCTAGTAGCAAATGGTTCAGCAGGGTCGGCTCGGACCTAAGTTTTGGCATTAGGAGCCAGTTGCACCCGTCGAGTTTGGGGCGTGACATTTTATTTGTGTGATTTATTTATTTTCCATATATTTAAAATTTGTTGCAAATAAT